TACGTACGACTTTTTAACGTATAACGTCACTGAGTTATGTCAATTGATGTTAATAACAGTTACAACACTACCATATTACCTATCGCTATAGTATTATTGGATAATCCGATTTAATATAGCATTTGAAACCCGAATATGAAGTAAAATTCGGATTATCCGGATGTTCAGATTAGCTGGTTTCATCTCCATTTATAACATTAGAAAGGTCGGTTAATTGAAGATCTCCTGAACAAGAGTTGTCTAGGCTAAGAATATCATCTCCATTTATAAAATTAGAAAGGTCAATTAATTGAGGATCTCCTGAAACAAGAGTTAGATAGCCAAGAATTGATCCTTGTCGATATATTCTTCATTTCAACAATAAATATTCGTAATAACTTTTGCATATATATATTTTTTTAAACCTATCACAAGGATTTGTTATATTTCTCTAACCATGTTTAATTCAAATAATTTGTAGTGATCCTTGCCGAAATCAAAAAAAATCGACTAAGCCGATTTTTCAACCTGGCCGGTCGAATTTGTGAAGCTATTTATCGTTATATAATAAAATGGCTTCCTCGAATTTTTGCATCGATTAATTTTTAGTATCTCTTACTTCATAGTTAACAATATTAAATTAATCAGTGCGATGTATTCACAAATATATATGTTTACCATTACGAAATTATTTAATTCGCATTACTTTAGTCTGAACCAGTCAAACTCGCATCCATAAGTTCTGGGAACTTAAAAAATTGGCGATAACCGAATTGACGTCTGCCGACGTCAGTAGCTTAATGATTCTGACTCGGTAATTTAACGATTCTGTTACTGGAAAATTTTTCAGCTGCTCCAGAATTTATGAAAACAACTGTAATAAAGAACGACATTTAAAATAGGTTTACGTCATTCTACCAAATAAATTGACTATAGTCGATAAAATTTTATCGGCTTAGCCAGTTGAAAAATTTTGACCGGTTTGGATCACTAATAATTTGTTAGAGAATGAACGAATGACTTAGTATACAGTACAACGAAGATTCGAATTTTTTTCAGAATCAAAGTGAAGCAGAAAAAATTCGAGAATTCGTAACAAAGAAGAACGTTTATGTTTCATTTTTTACACTCACACATTTAATTTAATTTGATTCTATTTTTTTAATCTAGTCTTGGCATTAAAATATATGCTTGATTCAAGTAAATGGCACATAAAAAGCCTCAGAGTAATGATTAATTAGTTGATTCTTTTTTTTTTTTTTTTTTACCTTGGTTGTAGTTTTCCTATGAAATAATTTGTGACAACTTGATACGTTGAAGTTTTCGAAAAATCAATGCCAAGGGTCATTAGCATAAACAATTTCTTCTTTTTTTTTGAATTTGTCTTGTAAAACATTGTATTTATTTAATGAAAATATATTTAAAACGTCTAATTGCATGAAAAAAAGGAGTTACATAGTAGACTCATGCTGGGCTGGCTTCACGTTTGAGTACTTTAAATTAATTGTGTACAGTTACATTTCAATGTTTCAATCCGATGATAAAAGATAATTTGAACTGACAAATCTCAATTAATTTTCATAATACTTACTTCTACATAGTAATGGAACTTTATTCATTATTTCTATATATGTATAAAAAGGATATCTAATTTCAAACCTACGTATAACTACAAGAAGCGACCACCATCAAAATAAAACCGAATAATAATTTCGATTAGACAAAATTTTCCAAAAATCGGCCGAAAGCTGATATAAGATATATAGAATATGAAATAAGAGCAATGTAACCATCATTTTTTTTTTACCGCATAACATGTTTGACCAATAGAAATGCAAAAGCAAAAAAAAAGAATAAATTTATAAATTTATACAAATTATACAGTATTAATAAAATCAAACTTATTAACATTTTATGTATAAATGTCGAATTCTGAAAAATTTTATACGTAACTATAGTTGTCCAATAGAAGATTATGAATAGAACAATAGAACAATTTGGGAGTAAGTTAGTAAAAACGCTCCATGTCAATTTTTTTTTAAAAAAAATTTTGAACAAAATTGTGCTTTGCAAAAGATGTGGTCTCTGCAGATCATAATACTGTGTGGGAATCGGAGATTCTATCGATTTTAAGAATTTTATCGATTTCAAAGAAATATAACGTAACCGTTCGAAATATAAAACAACAGACAATCTAACACCATCACAGAAATCATGTGGCCACATCTTTTTGCAAACCGCAATAATCAAATTCAATAAAATTTCTTTTTGATTAAGCTTTTTCGCTAAATCATTTTTGTTTAAAGGTTCAAAATGTTTCATTAAAAAAGATTTGGTGCGTTTTTTGCTGACTCACCCTCATTCTTCTTTACATACAAAACTTCTATTTATAATATATCTATGAATTGAATAAAAGTTAGTAAAATTACGGAAAAAAAGCATTATTGATCAAAGTTGATTATTAAAGCGGATTTTCTGTTCCACACTTTCGGCGTGATTATTTACCGAATTTATTCTGTTATCATTATCGGTATAGAATATGTCTTTTGATATAATTACTAATTTAGTAATAAATTGAATCATTTTGGATTTAAAAATAGTCATATGGGCGCATTTTTAGAATGTATAGTAATGATGCACCTCATTTGGCATAAGAATTATAGCATTAACGCACTTCGGACCTAGATCAATTGGTTAGCCATATGGCTGACTAATTGATCTAGGTCTGAGGTGCGTTAACGCTATGTTCGAAACATAAAACTGATATATCCTTATATAAATAATATTAATATAAAATAAATAAATTTTTAGTTAATATAAATGCTATTTATATTATGTATTTATTATTAATAATATACATAAATAAATTCTAAACTTAAGTAGATTCATATTACAAGTCTCAATTACTGTATATAATTTTATATAATTTTATACAAGAACTTTAAATATATATATTGTATTTTATTTTTCACAAATTTATCATACAATTTATCATCTTTTTTCACAATTTATCATCTTTTTTCACAAATTTATTTTCTTTTATTTCAACGTTTAAATACGTAATGAAAATTAAATTATTATAATTAGTTAATATTTTTGATATACAGATTATTATTTAACTTGTATCAATTTTGATTAATTTCGAAAAGAAATATATTTTATTGACCGTATCATTAGTTATCATTGGTTAAATCATTGATCAAATTTATTAATCAAATTTTTATTAGTTAAATTTATTGGTCAAGATTCATTGATTAAATTTGATCAACCTTCTTTTTTAAATATATATATATAAGTTACTTTAATTTGTCAAGGGTTTATTTTAAGATTTATTTTAAAATTGCATCATTCGTCAAATTACAATTTTTTGCCACAAGTAGATATTGAAATATAAAGTAATAATTGTTACCCATATCAGTTAACAAACATATGTGGAATGACATAACATAATCAAATATGAGTTCGACTTTTAATACTGTACTATTGAATTTCCGGACTAAAAAAATCGAGATGTTGATTTATGTTATAGAACAGTCTAAAAAAAATACCCCCTGCAGATGAACACTATCAATTTAATCGGTTCACAAAGTTTTATAGCCTATCAACGATCATATTGTTTATCAAAGACTACATAATTTAATTATCAATGCCTTCTGAATTTAGTAATTCGTACAATCGCGCCTTTTTTACATATGTAAGTACGCATTTAGGGATTTGCATAACAATATTCCTAAATATATCGTAATTTATCTTTTGTTATACCCTAAAATCCAAATAAGAAACAAATCAAAGCATTTATTATCTTTAAATTATGTACTAGGTCTTCCGAGGTAAGACGGAAATATATCAATTTTTTATTAATGCGTTTTCAATTTCTTATTAAAAAGGTTTGGCCATGCTACACGCGGTTGTTAAGGTAAATGCGTAATTAAGATGTTACTTATGCTGTGTAATACTCACTATAAATCCCTTTTAGTGAATATTTTTGCGTTTGTTACTTTGATGATTTTGTTTTGTTTACTTTCAATGTTACAATAAAGAAACGCCTTCGCGAAAATCCTTTATTATATGCTGCATTTATAGTAACGATTCTAGAATAACCAAGGTTAAATAAAACATTGGTCACTGCGCATGAACATTATCGCTTATTTCTTGCTCATTTGTTTGGCATGTTAAAGCGACCATACATAATTGGTCAGCTTTCTTTCACATTCACGACATGGTCACAAGCTCTCACAAATTTTCATAACACACTAAATGATTGAACAAACAACATCGCATCGCAGAAAAAAAACTGCAGATTATATAGCAAATGGGGACTGTGTCCTTATCAATGATATTACGAAAATACCCGTACAAAAAAAAAACCCCATAAAAACTTTACTTAATAAAATGAAACTTACAAATACTCCCATAATATTCCGCATTGTAAGACACTTCTCATGACTATTTGTCTCACTAAATATTTCCTTATTTTCCCAATTTTCCAACGGTGCAACGCTTGACCGGTTCACATTTTGCTAATCGGGTTCACCTTTTTAGTTAGTTTAAGGCTTAAAGGGCGTATTGACATCCACTATGCACGAGCTGGTAACTATAACGGGACTTGTGTGTTAAACCAAAGAAATTGGCATAACAAGGTTTATCCGAACAAGTCCGAGATTTTTCCGCTCTTGTCGATTTACTGAATGGTTTTTTTTGCGCCGTCGTTTTTTTTTTTTTTTTTTTTTTATACACTTTTTTTTTTTAACTCAGCAAGTTGTTTTTTCACGACTATAATTGCATTTTTTACGTACATTGTGTAACAGTTATGTATACAAATTTCTTTGTTTATCGATGTAAGTTCATGTCCTGAAGGGTATTTTTTTTTTTTTTTTTTTTTTGGCTACAGTCATTGTTTAATATATATTTTTTTTTTCCTCCTACCGTTCCTTTTCACAATATATCTAACTTTAACCTTTTTTTTTTTTTCTTCGTACTTTCATCTTTTAATAATATTCTTTATAGCTAAAATAAAAGGTATGACTAAAAAATCCTCTGCGTATAGACTTAAAGTTACAACTGCTTGCCAAAATTGTCAACGTCGAAAAATAAAGTGTTCGGGCGAAATCCCTTGCACCTATTGTTTAAAGTTGGACCGTGAGTGTCAACCCGGGAAACCTGGAAAAAAACGTGGCCCACCTCCCGGGCAAGAAATTATAAGAAGTCGAAATAGTAGGTTGGAAAGCATCATTAACGATGCTGTTAGGGATCCAAAGAAACGTGAAGCATTAATGAATGTTGAAGGAATAGAACCTGAAGTTCGACATGGAATTGATCTATTAAGATATAGAGATGAAAATGAACTTCAAGTTGTTGATTCTCTTACTAGATTAGGGCATGTACCGCACTCGGAAACTGGTCCTCAAACAAAAACTCCAATTATTAGGGACTTAAATGGTCAACGTAATGTATAAATATTTATTTTCATTTAATTACATTCAATGTTTTATTATTATATATTTATGCTTAGTCTAGCAGTTTTTAACAATATAACAAATTAGTCGATAATTATTTGTTTGTTGTTTTTTTTTTTTTTCGTTTCTTTTCTTTCTTTTTTTTTTAGATTCAAAATTGGATATATGGTATAATCAATCTAACGTTAGGAACGGTCAGGCTCAGTCTACAGATAGATTGGAGTTAATGGAGAATACTTCCCCATTTTTGCGTAAACCAAAACCCATTTATCCGGTGCATATGAAAGAACGTCAAATTGCACATATTGAATCTATTAATAAGAATCCAAATGAATCTGTTACTTTTAGAAATAATTTACCTACTGATTCTTCGGCCTCATCATCAGGTTTAGTATCCTCCTTGTCGTACCCTACATCTCCATCTCTTGCATCATCATCATCGTTAGTGTTATCCCCAAAACATTCACCAACATTATCAATGTTACCTCCATTATCTAAGTCAATAACTGCATCCCCAAAACATTCTTCATTACCAACATTACCTCCATTATCTTCTTCAATGCCATCATTATCAAAATCTTCTTCATCAATGTCTTCATCAACTAATTCATCATTTGGTCCTTCTCAATTTTGGCGTAAACCAAGCATACCAAATTTTTCTCATTCATATTTAACTTCTAATAATGGTTCAATTTGTTCTCATTCAACATTTTTAAATGGTCATTCATATCATGCGACTTGGAATTATTCATATCCAAAACCTTCAAATAATAATAATTCTGATTCAACATGTTTGGATAAAAAACCTACTCATCAGTCTTCATCAAATTCAAATAAGGCTCCTATTCTTCCAGATTTAACAAGTTTAAATAAGGGTCATTATACTTCCGGTTCACAAAGTTCTCTAAACAAGGAATCTATGTTATCAAATCGATTTGATTCAAATTCAACTCGGAATAATTCTGAACATGGATCAATGCATTATTTTCTTCCACCGTTACAATTACCTCAAAGATTTCATTTACCACAATCAAATGTTTTGCCTCCGTTACAACCGGTAAGCGATTCGCATTATATACCACCACCACTGCCACCTCAAGATAATCGAAGATCATCAGAATGGACACAGCAAATACCATCAATAACTCATAACTTTAATGATACGCGAATTATACCTCCTAAAATTAATAATGAGGTTACCGTTTTATCTCCACCTAACAAACGTGATGTAACAAGTGATTCATGTGGAATATCAACATCTAATTATTGTGATTCCGAAAAAGAGAAAAATAAATCAGTAACATCAGAAAGCAAGTCAGTTTCTCAAGGGAATAAGTTAACCCCACGTTTCGTTCCGATTAAAGCATATCCTCCGACTGATACTGTTAAAAAATCTTCAGCTTATGGTACACGAGGTCGAAGTACATCAAGTGCAAAAACGCGTCATTCAACTGATGGCAGTGGTGCTGTAACATATCAAGCATTGAATCGTCGTTCTACTCATACAAATAGAAATACACATGGTCATGGTGTACATCAAACACCATGTCAGCAAATTAAACCTATTAATGGTACGGTTGATCAACAAAATTCATACAATTATTCTTATAATTATGATGTAATGGATAGTAAAAATGAAAAAATAAACAAATCGTTTACATCGAATGTCATTGGCGTAGAAAGCCAATTTAAGGGTAATTGTCAAAATGATGTAATGCAGCGGGATCATTTCGTGGAACGGGTTGGTGATGAATCTAATAATATTATCTCGAAAGTTGGATCTATTGATGATTCACGTATAATAGATTCATCGATAATTAACAAAGGAAAAGCTTCTGATCCCATTAATAAATTTGTTGATACTATTTCTCTCAATGTTGGTCCATTAAATTTAGCGGATACGCGACGTGATGAAAACAAATCCGTTACTTTGGATGAAACAGAACGACGGCCTTTGAATGTATCTTTAGATACTTATCTAGCTTCATCGATTGAATGCGACAACGAACAATCTTCAAGACCGTTAACACCACCAAGATGTGATAACGAAAATTTATCAACACGAAAAAATCGAATTGAATCTTTGCAACCTTCAGATACTGAATCAGTTTTAACTCCTCCCACCATTCAAGATGATTTGTCAGCAATGGAATTTGACGATTGTTCGGCGTCTAATTCCTCAGTATCGATTTCTAGACCTACAAAGAATAACTCGAGAAAGAAATTCCAAATGACACACACAGAATCAAAGAAATTAAAAAAGGATAAAATGGGAGCAGTTACATTGACAGATTCGGAGGATTCTTATAATTCTGAACGTAATAAACGCAATAAACGGGAAGATTTAATTAAACATGTTCCTGAATGTGATACTGATGATACATATGATGATGATGACGATGATGACTATAGGCCAAAACGACCAAGGCCAATTAATAATCGTAAGAGGGCTAGTGCAGTTCCAAGACGAATTACTCGAAGAACTAAACCACCTGCACCTAAAGACCCTAGTAAAAAATGGGTTAGACGCAAAGAATAGATTTCTATTGCGTTGTATAGTGAAAAGGTAATGTAATGGGAGAGTCATACAGTATAAAGCAGTATAAAGCAGTATAAAGGGTCTAATAAGTGAAAAAAAATTTAATATGCATGTAAATAATTAAGTGAAATTTAAAAACTTTAAAACGATCATTAGATAATATGAAATTTTTCTTAATCTCATTTATTATATGAAAAAAAAAAAAAAGAAAAACTGATCGACTAATGTCGGGTTCAGATAAAATTAATACGTATTTAAATTTTAATTGCAATAATAGTCTTTTTTTTTTTTTTTTTCTTTTTTTTGCGTAAAAGTAATAATAATAAATTTATTAAATTTTTAATTTACGATAACGATTATACGGTAGCGATTATAACGATTATAATAATTATAACTATCGTTATTGATCGTAAATAACAGATAAATACGCGAATTACGTAACTGATTTGAACGTGGATTGCATATATTATTCAATTTTCTAATATTTTATTTACTAGTCATATCTATACAAAGATATTTTTTAAAAAAATTTTGTAATAATGTGATACTTACAAAAATAGTAATTATCAATAGAAAAACAGCTTTACGATCTTACATGGTTTAATTTACAAAAACGTATATTACCATAATGATATATGAGAGGTGGTCTATGAAGATAGCGTTCCGACATTTAGATCGCCATATTATAATATACAGTATAATCGGGATTAAACAATTAATCATTTGATAATCAGTAATAAAATGTCGAAATGCTATTTTCATAGATCACCTCTAATATCTAATTTAATTTTGTATATGTTGTAAGTGCGTTCCCACTTACAACATATGTACAAACAAAAATTCGATCAAAGTTTCATTCAAACTAACATTCTAAAGTAATTTCTTTCGTTATTTTATATTTAATAATTTATAAAAAATTTAACCTGTCTTATAATTGGTTCTTGCGGATGTTCTCAGATCTGCTTATGAATGCAAAGAATGTATAATGATAAGTCCAATTATAGCATTATCAATAAAAAAAAAAAAAAAAAGAAGAATCTAACTTAATATTTAATTACAATGTAACATTTGATGGTTAAAAATCACCGGAATGTTATTTCAAAATGTAAATGATTTTATTATTATGGAGAAGGTATGCTAAGTCGAGACACAGTATTACACGTGTTTGGTATATAGTATCACGTGATAAAGTCTAGGCCTTTTTTTTTACGCCAAATATAGAAAGTACGATATTATAAAAAATCATTATAAACAACTTCATGTACGTCTATAGGTTCTTAGCATGCTCATTAAGTAATCCGAACAAACTTATTTGGCTTTATCAATAAGCTTATCAGAGTAAATTTGTATTTACAATATAATGAACATAAGATGTTACATAAAAAATTAATAAATATCTAAATATAGGTATGTACAATGCGTGTGACTGATATTCGTTACTATTTTTTTCCGATTTCTTTTGTTCACAAAATCGATGAAGATTGATATAAGATCTATTACGATTAAATTCTTCCATATAGGTACTTAAAGTTTTGTTCACATCTTTTTGTTTAACCCTAATTACTTTACTGAAAATTATTATCATAAAAACGATTTTCCTCAATACTATGTCGCCACCAAAATATTATTGTCACGTGAATATTTGGCCAAGGACACGCGACATTTATAATAGATCTGCATTATCGTGTAACTTCGTGTTGTTGTTGGACATTCGTTGGACTTTATAACCTTGTTTTAATTAAGGATTGTAATCGTTATTTGTTTAATGGCATATGACCGTTTTATTTATATTATACAGTTAAACGAGTAAATAATTTATTATTCTCTTAAAAACCGGTTTTAAATTTTATACATTAATTATTTAATCTTCAAAGTGGGACAAAAAATATGCTCGTCATAAATGTGCGTATGCAAGATCCGGGTCCATTACATTCCACCAAAAAAATTAATTAGTAAAAAAAAAAAAAAAGGAAAATAATTACTAGTAAAACGGCGCCGTTTCATAGGGCTGGAGCCTTATTTATTACACGCTTAAACTTTATAATATACATATATGTATAATAAGTAGAGATGGGTTTCATGCATGCGCATTAAAAAAAGTGGGTCAAAAAATAATAGAAAGACAAATTAAAAAAAATTGGCTTAGAAAAAAAAAAAAAAAAAAAAAAAGTGGGTTAAAAATAAAAAGAAATAATAATAATAATTAGCTTAAGAAAAAAAGAAAAAAAAGACTTTACATACCAGGGTCCATATCATTTCATTCGAAAACTTTTTGGGGGTTAATTTTTCTTGATTGCATCTAGTACATAATCCTGTTTTATGGACTAATACA